GAAGTGACTGAGAGATTATTTATAAAAAAAATGTAAAACAATCCAAATGTTCAACTGAGCATTTATTAAATAAATTAATGTGCATTCATACTTGTAACATGTTGTAAAATCATGGGAAAATATGTACAATATGAAGTTTACAGAGAAAAGCAAATAGTAACACAATGCATATGCAATGGTACAATTTATGATGGAGAGAAACTTTTATAAATGGATTTCCATATAAATTGTATAGTTTATAGTTATAGTTTCATAGTTAGATTTACATGTAAATACAGTTAGAAATTGCATACATAGCTGCAGATAATAGATTTTATTATATTAAAATACATTTTATAAATATATTTATATAAAACATGTGCTATATTTTTCTGTAAGAATATGTACTTTAAACTACTAACAGTAGTTACCTCTAAAAAATGAACTACAGGGGGGCTGGGGATTTAGCTCAGCGGCATAAGCACCTGCCTTGCAAGCAGGCGGTCGTGAGTTCGATCCCCAGTACCGATAAAAATGAAAAAGACAAAAAAAAAAAAAAAAAAAAAAAAAAAAATGAACTACAGGGAATGCAGGAAGGTGAGGGAAGGGAAGGAATGATTTTCAGTTTTTATTTTTTATATTTTAGTGCTGTGTGAGTCTGTTGCAATCAATGCAGATCATATTTGTGATTAAAAATAATAATAGCAGAAAATCACTAAAAGACAGAGGATGTTTCATTGACAGGAGTCTGAGGGCTGCAGTAAAGATACAGGGAGCCCAGAGATCTAGAGAGAGGACAACAGGGACAGCTGTGGAGAGCTGAAGCCAGTATCCTTTCTGTCCCTGCTGGTATGAAATATGATGCTATGATTTGAATGTTTCCCAAAATTCATGTGTACAAAACCCAGTGTCCAAAATCAAAAATTAACTGTATTTCAGAGGAAGCCTTTGGAGATAATTATGATTAGATGAAGTCCTGAGGTTGAGAACCCATGATTGTTATTAGTGGCACTATTTTTACAAAAAGAATAGAAATCTAAGAGAGGAAGCTTGCCCCAACTTACCATGCGACACCTTGTGCCACTTTGGGACCCTGCAGAGTCTTCACCAGATACTGAGTAGATGCTGGCACCATGTTATTGGACTTCTCAGTCCCTAGAATCTGACTAAGTGAATCTATTTATTATGAAATACCTAGTCTGTGATATTCAGCGACTTCAACAAAGAATAGACTAAAACAATGAGTTTATCACCATGGATGCCACATTGACAGAGTCCTAGGAAAGGGTCTTATGCATTTACCTGCTTGGTTACGGTCACTCCTAAATCAGGGGTAAATGATAACGCTGCTCAGTCCATCTTTCTCCCTAATGCATGCCTACTGGCTCTTAAATCGTTTTTGCTCATATTAAGCTTGCATTGTACTTTGTTGTTGTTACTGATGTTGATGTTGGTGTGTATATGTGTGTGTGTGCAAGGTTGATACAAACCATGGTTGACTTGGTCCCAAATATGTACAGCTATGAGTAGAGCTATTTTCTTCTCTGTGCTTCAATGCTTTCAACCTGTAAAACCTAAGGATTGTAGCAGATGATCTACAGGGTCTTCACAAGGGCTCATAACTATATTCCAGTCTATGAACTTTCAGTGGACATATACCGTCTACCCAAAGCAGTGTGGCGCATTGTGAGGCCCACAGACTTACAGCTTAAATGAATTAAACTAATATTTAAACCCTTTTGATTGTGCTTTCATCTTTCTTCCAGAGAAAACCAGCTTAACATGTCTTGGTTGCTAAGTCTGATACAGAATCTGACCAAGTACAAGTACAGTTAATAGCAAATGTTGCGTAAAGGAAGTTCATTCCCTCTTATCCAGAGGTAAAGGTGCATTACTCAGCCCTGCTTCTGCACACTAAGATAGAGCTCAGTATAAGCCCTTCGTACAGCTAAACAGCTGGATAAATGATGTCACCAGCTAAGAGAAGGACTGATATGAAGACAGAAATATTTGCACGGCCTCAAAATGACCTTGAGACCCAGTCTGAAGATTGTCTCAGGACCCACAGTCATCTGGGCAGTCTTCAGTTGCTTGTCTTCTGGGAGGAAGCTTTGGTGGATGAGTCTCCCCAAGTACAGTGAGTGCAGGAAAGGGTGCACATCATCCCAAGGCTGACTATTCCAACTCACAGAATGCTCTTGAACGAAAGCTGTTTTAATCCACCTCCGGGTAGACTTACCCTTTATGGCTGGGAGATGAACTAACCACGAGTGAAGAGATGCAAATAGAGGTGTTCATGAGTCTTGGGAAACAAGTAGATGCTACTCCTGTAAAAGCAGCATTTGACGTTTTTTTAAAAGCCTGAATAATGCTTGAAAGTTATTTGGTTAAGTAGGTTAAACTAACTTATCCATGCTTTCCTTTATCCTTTAATTGGCTTACTAAGGTCTTTCTTCAAAGATAATACAAAGAGTAACTTAAGTCAACTTTAATTATCTACAGATGCCCAAATGCAGTCACTCAAATTATAATAGGAAAATTATGTGTTAAATTAAACATTAGATTTTTCCAGAGACTTCTATCTATTTATTTGTGACATTTGTCTTCCTTGTCAACTCATATTCTATTATAATGGATCTGATTTCTAATTTTTATGTTTATGCTAATCCTTTGTCCTGAGAGATTGTCTAGTTGTAACTCTTCATGACATCTCAGATCAATTGGCACCAAGCTACACTTCTGATGTCTCTGAAATTTAGCTTCCTCCTAAATCTATGTGAACTCAGCAAATCAAGTCACATGAAGAGGGATACAAATGGAATGGGGTCACTTTTTAATGTTTCCTTAATCTCACCCATGTAAGTGAAATGGGTCACTCTGAGTCTGTATCTAAGTGAGAAAGAAGCAAACAATGCCAGGCATGGCAGTGCATGCCTGTAGTGCCAGCACTCTGGAGGCTGAGGCAGGAGGTTGCTGCAAGTTCGAGGTCAGCTTGGGCTACATAGTGAGTTCAAGGCCAGCCTGAACTACATAGCAAGACCCTGTCTCAGAAAACAGTACCAAAAAACCCCATGACAGTGTGGTCTAGGATAAGGAAAAACTTAAATGATGGTCAGTAGACTAGACTGAGACCTTTCTGGGCCTCAGTTTCCCAGGGGTAAAAAGAGGGCATTATAGCCAACTGACCTCCGTGTCTCTCGTTCTCTCCTACTTTGCTGAGAAGGTAACATTCTGGGAGCAGCTGGTAAGATTTATACTCTACTTTAGGTCAACCAGAGAAGGATAATGTAAATTTTGAGAAATGTGACTACCACGTTACCCACGGGACCTATGTACTCACCTCTCTTCCTAGAGAGATAAGGGAATTTTGGCTTAACAAACTAAAACCGTTATGTGTTCATGGATCTAAAAAGACAGAAAAGGGCTTTCAGTATTTTTCTTAAAAGACAAAACTAACGACAGCCTATTTGAGGTTGAAAGAAAAATATACAGGGGTGGAAAAATATTTATTAAGATTTTAAAATGTTAAGCCACTCGGTTGTGGAATATAAAAGCCTCCCTGGTTTTGTTACTAAGTGGCTCTGTGATTTAAAGTTGCTGACAGCATGGGCCTCTCACAATGACGCTGTCCCCTATTTCCTCACACAAGTCCTGGCAGACACTCATTTGTATGTATGGTTTCAGCCTGTCTGCAGTGTCTGGCCAAAGGGACAGAACTAATGACATATATTAACTACTATCCAACAACTTCCTTTCATTAGGGTGTTTATTAACATTCCCATTTCTGCCCCTCAAACCAGCTGGTAGCAGGGTCCACTGACAGCCCGAGTTCACGTACTAGTTTCACTCACAAAACATAGATTTTTTTGCTTTGGATAATTTTCTTCTGTTTCTATTTCAGCTGAGATATTTCTAAGATGGAAGATGACATCAAAATAGTGACTTGGAAAAAAATCTTTTGCTGCTGTGGTTCATCTTCAGAGTGGCTCTAGATATATTCTGGTATTGTAACTATATAGTATCCATCCACCTATTAGACACTTGTGTCATTAGTGAGTACCAAATAGCCTCATTCTCATCATATATACCAAGGAACTATGAAAAAATGTATGCATTAGTGAAAGTATGAACTATTGTAGGAAGAATACTAACTTCCTCTCAGTACACCTCTAGTCAAGCATGACAATATATGTTTCTCTACAGTTTAAGAGGGTGGAGATGGGGAGCAGGTCTAGGGTAAGATACAGGGGAAAGGACTGAAGAGCTAAACCATGGATAGCACCATGAAATATGAACCGGCATACTTACATTTCACAATAACGACACAGCCAACCCTAAAGACCTCTTACAGCTCTCTATTTTATTGGGCACCTATCTCTTTGTACCCCAAGGAAGGACCTGGACAAATTGCCACCAGAATGACAAAGCAGTAGAGAAAAGTAGGCAAGTGTTCCGCATTGTCACCCAGGGGCATCTCTCTGCAGTAATTCATCTCAGAATATCAAATGTAGGAACAGTTAGAACAGAATGCTAAAAAGACAGTTCTTCACCAGTTGACTTTTTGGGGAATTGTGGTAGATTCCACTCTGAAGGGCATCAGAACTTTTATGCTCATCTCTTAGATTGCCTTGTCAAAGACATTAAACAAGTGGATATTGGGCTTTAATATCAGAACATGGTGGTGCAGACTTGTGATTTTTGTCAAAGGAATTTCACATTTGCAAAAGATACTGGCTTTCACACTTTCCTAAATCAAAGTCCAACTAGCCCTGTGTTTTGCATTCTTAATCCCACAAAGAAGCCACACCTACTTCCCTTTGTGCCCACCATGTCCCACCCACCAAAACTGACCACCTCCCAAGCATGCATGGTGGAAAGTCAAACTGTGCTGAATCAGTCTCTCATGAGGCTGATGTTAGAGAGTTCTGGGCAGGACAGCTTTGACGTTTTGTGGGAGACCAGATAGAGGAATGCCATCTGCCTGAGAAAGGTGCTTTAATTAATAAATGTTTGTTATCTAATACAAGACTGATACTCAGCTGTTACGTACCAGTGTGGCTACATCTACTCCTTCTTAAAATATCAAAATGATGTTGTACTGATTAGCAAAAGATCAGGATTCTGAGCTTCCCAGTGCTTCCTTAGGCCTCACATATGACAATCTCTTCCCTGGGATCCCCTAAGACCATCTGCCTACAAGATGAACACTGTCCCACAGACTTCCGAAACTCTGCTGGCATTATACAGAGAGGGCAGTGCCACTGACATGGGTGTACATTTTTACACTGTCACCACTGCCTGTAGTGTCCTGACACTAACATGGTAACACACAGCAGTATAAAGTGCTGTCCACAAGCTGCCAAGAATTTCCAGGATGGCAGAGAATTCTCATGAAAATGGCTCAGTACTGTGTCCCAGACACTTGGAGATAGTGGCACCTTAGGGAAACTGATTTTCAGGCTTGAAAATTGAACTTTTCAACATGCTAGAGTGGGTTAGTTTCTCAGGGACAGATTCTTATCATTCAAGCTCTCAAGAGACTGCTACATAAATAAAAATGACAATTTTTTAATTTACAATGAGAAATAAGAACTTCTAAGCAAAGTGGACACTTGTGTCACCTTGACTAACACATTTTCTCCCAGGAGGAAATGAAAGGGAAAACAGGCCATCATGGAATGCAGCTTGGGTACACAGCCCAAGAAGGGGATTGTAGATGGATTGTCTTAATGTCAAAGGCTGTCACATGTTCTTAAGCTAATGCTTTCATCTCTTCTTTGGAAGTGGACCTGCCAGACAGATAGGACTGGCTGTTCCCTTGACACCCTCCATGTACTCCTCCCTTGCCAGGCTTTCCTCTCTGACCCCCACTTTCCGTGTTCCATGCAGACATCCTGCTTCAGGTGACATGTTCTATCTTTAGGCTTGTTAATACCACAGCTAGGCTCTAACCAAACACCATTAATTTCTTGCGCCTGTCTTGGAAGACACTTTTTCATTCAAGTATCCCCCTTCTCTAATACACACACACACACACACACACACACACACACACACACACTACTGTTTAGGGTAGATTATTATCATTAAACTCATTGGCTCCCAGCCCAGTTTGGCTACACTTCTGAAACATTTTGAGAAATTTTTAAAAACACTGATGCTTGGTTCAAAAACCCAGAAATTCTGATTGAACTTATTCATACTGCAACTCAAACATTAGGCTTTTAAAACTCCCCCAGATTTTACAACCAGAATGTGAGATTCCTAAAGAGTTGACACACAAAGACAGTTTTTGCATTTGAGCAAAGTTTGGGAGTCATTGACTTAAGTCTTTCATTCCAAAGATATTTCTACCTGCATCAACTTTTAACACATGCTACTGTTTGAATATGAGGTTCTGTTATTTGGGTTAAGGTAGGCTCCAGGTATGGGCTTTTCTATCAAGTTCCATAAAAGATTTTTGTGTGAACCAAGACTAAGATCTAGTGGTCTAAACAGTTTGTTTGACTCTTCTGTGTCAGTTCCCTCTTGCATGTGGCATGGCACACGGAAGACAAATCAGGAACAAGGCCCACAGATGTGAACGGCAGGGACCCACGTGCTTATAGACCTCACGGCATCAGCAGGAGAAGCATGCAGCAGGGGTAGTAAAGGTGTTCAGTTCATGTTTGTTTGTTTGCATCCACACCAAATTTATATTTCCCTGTCACAGAATGAGCTGGGGTGCAGAACTGTAGGATCATTTTCATGGGCTTCTCACTGGGGAGTTTAACCGAGTGCTGGGAGGCGGGCTGTGCTTGAGAGGCAAGTGGCCTGCTGCATGATTTTCTCCATGGAGTATGATCGTCTTGTCGTCTGTGAGCACTCTTTGGCTGTTCCTTGCAGCCTTTTCATAACAGACCCCTGCTTTCCCAAGGTCATCTTGAAAGAGGCTATATGTCCGTTCATACTCTTTTAGAAATCATTATATTTTGGCGGAGAAGCAAGCAACTGGGGAATTTCAGCCTGCCATTTTCCTAAACTCACTAAGGATTTTCATTTTCCTTGCAATTCCCTAATTTCCTGTTGTCATTTCTAGCACTTCCAAGGTACATGAAAATTCATTTGAGCTTTGCTAGTGTTTTCAGCCTTGTCTGATTACAGAGCACTTAGGAAATTCATCAACATCCTTTTGGAAGCAACCTGTAAAAAGAAAATGCAATCTCAGGAGAGGAAAAGGTAGTTGGCAAGATAGAGAGCCATCCTTTTCCTAGGACTTGCAGTGACAGAACTTGGAATAAAGTAATTTTGATTAGCAACAAGGGGGACAGAGAAGGGCAACTATGTCTGGCTGGGCGGGTGACACACAGCACAATTTCCAGGACACCACTGACAGTGCATTCTGTGGTCCTAACACCCTTTCAACCACCTTTCCACCACCACATCTCATAATCTTGGAAGACTGTGAAGCTCATTGAATTCCAGGTTCCGGCTACATTGAGAATTGGATAAATGCAGTGTTGCGGTGATGACTTGTTTGCTCTGTGCTTGGCATCATTCCTTTGGAAATCAGTGGATGCTTTTCAGATCTCGGTACTATTCCTAGTCACTTTGTCTAAGCTGTGGGAGCGCAGCCCTTTCGTGTGACTGTAACCATTTGTATATAATCTCTCTGATGCAGAGAAGTTTACTTGAATCTGCAGAATTTTTCTGTCTGGCCTTATGTTTTACACATTCTAGATCTGGTGATTCTTTTCTTGGAGAACCACCAAATTTACCAGTTTATTCAAATGAAGAAAACAGCTATGCAAGAACATACCACACAAAAATAATAACTTTGCTTTTTATCATATAAAATAGGATCCTATAAATAGCCATGATATCTGGCCTTGGTGGCAGACACCTTTAATTTCAGCACTCTAAGAAGCTAAAGCAGGAGGATCACAAGTTTGAGCCCAGAATGAGCAACTCAGGTATTTAGTAAGACTGTGTCTCCAAATAAAAATAAAAGGCTGCGGTTGTAGCTCAGAGAAAAGGCCCCGGGTGCCTCTGCATGTGTCCCCTCCTCTATCATAACTGACAGGCTACAAAGCAAGACTGTCTTTGTGTTCAGAAACTGGCACTTTACACTGTCATAGTTTTAGTCTTCTACCTCTGCAGAATCATGTGTCTCTTGTCACCTCATAGATGTAATCTTAACTGGCCACAATGAGATGTTTCTTCAGGCTTACAGCTGTTGCACTGAACTATAAACCCATCAAAGGGAACTGGCCCTTATTATATTAATAGATTTTCAGTGCTGGCAATATGTGAGGACCTATACTCTGGCTGCCTCATTTGACAATATTTATTGGCTCATTGTGGAAACTAGCAACAACTTTCAAGAGAAAATGTGATAGGAACACTCTGTTCTTGTGTTATCCTCCAGAAAAGAACATCTTGTAATTGCTTGATGTCACCTTGGAAGATCCACAAAGATTTTCATTGAGGAACAGAATTCTAGAGTTAGCAGACATCTTAATGATCATTTATCTGGCACTTGTACCGTATTTTTATATAGCAGGAATCAGGAATATAAAGCTACATAGCAAGTGTGTGCTATCCCTGAGGACCCCCGACTACCTGCCCTGATATTACAAACATTTTCCCAGGCCTCATCTACCTGAGGTTGGAACACATTTGGGGTAAAAACCAAATTTCATTTGTTCATGCCCACACCAGTTAAGCCACGACTTCTTTAGGTCTTTACAGCGCGTCTCCCAAGTGTTTCCCCAAATCTCCTTATGCTCATGGACAACTTACTCCAGCCAGGTACCCACCACTCCACTCATGCTGTGTCAGCCAGGCCTCTCTTTTTTTCACCAAATGCTGCTGGTGCCACATCTCATGCCACAGCACTGGAAAGCAGTGAAGTCCTCAAGATGTTGTTTATGTTACACTCCTTTGGGTCTAGTTCACCTACCCTTCTACAAGTCCGCAGGGAGGTTGTTTTCTTAGATCCTCTGTGCTCTGGTCATCTCTTTAGAGGACCCAGGGGAATCTTGTGTGGGTGGTGAGATCTAAATGTGAATGTCTTGTCCCATAAAACACAAGCATAAACTAGTGACAAACGGTCTGCTATTCTTGCACTTTGTGTAACCTTTAATGATAAAACTTTTAACAAAGTCAAGCTACTAAAAGAAGATTTCTGCTTCCCTTATGGTGAACTCTTTCCCAGAGGGCTACTCTATGCTTCATGCACATCAGTCTTCTAAGTCTTTCCCAGTGGTTTATGACAACCCCAAAGTGCACCCCAGCTTAGACACAAGGTGGGATAATAGCTCTCTTCTTCTAAATCTGTTGTGATAATGAGATGTCAAAGGGTCTGGCTGGCTAGTATTTGGGAGGGATTATGACTTGGCCTTTGTTTTAACTGTGTTTAAACATCACAGTTTCTATCCATGGTGCTCTCACCATTGGCTACAAACTCCAGCAGGATGGGACAGTAGTAGATTCCATCGTGACCTCCAACAGTGCACAGGCGTAGACTTCCGGCTTTGCAGGACTTTCATCTTGTACAGTTTTGGTACTATCTTTAATTAAAACAATATAAAATGCCAAATACAAAGTCAGGTACAAAAATGAATATTTAGAATGAGAAAAAAATCACAGCACATTTAAAAATTTATAAAACTGACCAATAACAAAAACATGACAAAATCCAAAACAGTCACAATAATTTTTAGTTTTACTGCCTGTCACACTTCTCTAAATATCTTTTCACTATTGTTTGAGTGTATACTTATAAATTGATCTTTTATATTATTATGATTTTAAAGTCTGTAGTGAGTATAGATAATAAGTATTCCCTCTAGCATGGTTGGTGGGAAATTATTTTTTAGTATTATTGATTTAAAAGTTAAGCTATTTTGGTTTCACAAGACATTATTGGTTATATCATATAAATTTTAGGATAGAGAGAACCTCTATCAAATTGCTCTCACACTGGGTTGTAAAGTTCCAGGGTGTCTTAGTTACTTTTTACTCATTGCTGAGACCAAATACCTGAAGCCCAAGTTGGGAAAGGAAAGGTTTATTTCTTACAGTTTTTGGAGGTTTCAGTCCACACTCAGTTGGCTCCAAGACAGGTGGGCACGGCTGGGCTGCAGTTCATGGCAGCCGCAAACAGCAAGCAGGAACCAGCAAAGAGCAAGACACACCTTCTTCCTGTCATTACATCACATCCTAGCTCCACCCCAAAGTGGGTGTAGCACTAACACCATCAATCCAAGCACTATACAGTAAAAGAATAACAAATGCACAATGCAAACTCATGAGGCCTGGGGGACACAGACATAAACCATGACATTCCACCCCTCACCCCCAGGACTCATGTACATCCTTTATACAAAAGACATTTAGTCCACCTCCAAAAGTTGCCAAAGTCCTAACAGTTTCAACATTGCTGAACAGTCCAAGTCCCAAGTCTCCTCCAAGATCTATGGCAAACTCTTAATTGTAAGCCCCTGTACAAATGAAACAAGGTTAAACATTGCTGAAATGCAAAAGCACAAGATAAACATTACCATTCCAAAAGTTACAAACAGGGGAATAGAAAGTATTGGAAACAAAGCAAGTCCAACATCCAGCAGGGAAAACAAAGCCTGCCTTGGAGCCAACTGAGTATGGACTGAAACCTCCAAAAACTGTAAGAAATAAATCTTTCCTTTCCCAACTTTGGGCTTCAGGTATTTTGTCTCAGTGACAAGTAAAAAGTAACTAAGACATAGGGCATTTCAGGTGTGTGGATTTCCTAGAAACCCACTTCTTTCACTTCCCACGTGGCTTCCCTGGAAAGTGAGCAGGAAAGTGTCCACCAAAGCCCTTTCTCTTCCCACCTCTGTGCTATGACTGTTGCCCCGTTACCAGAAAGCTTAAAATGGCACACGGCAATGGTATATGGCAGCCATATAACAAAGAAACAAATTCAGGTCCTATGGAACTATTTTCTGATGCTTAAGTACCCCCAGTTATTAAGGAGACACATTTAGGTTGGATCAAGTCACTAAGCAAGTGGCAGGAATGTTCTGAGAGTCCCATGCACCATGTCTTTTTAATCAAGTGGCTGACGAATCTTGTGCAGACCTACAGGTTGCTGAGAGGCCACTGAAATGGGGGGATAAGGGGACAGGTGGTTGGTGGGTACCGGGACAAGGTGTTCAACAGGCAGGAATCCGGAGCTCTGGCAAACATATTCAGTCAGATCCAACTGGATTAAATAACTTGTTTTGTTTAAAAGTTTTAAGAAGTTTCCCAGGAATAAGCATCATGCTCCCCAGATCTATACTCTCTGCCATTGGACATTATTTTCAATGATCAGCTTATTTGCTGAAGATTACTAGTCAAAACATTTGCATAAATGCAGTTAAATGATGCAGTAGTGTTTTTCAACTGTGCATTCAAAGAATGTGAATGCCTGTTTGCTTCAAAATTGCAGAATTAGCTTTACTTAGTGTTTAATTTTCTGCTCAAAATGCAACTGTTCAAAATAAATATATTTTGTTTTGGTTACTTAACATAGATGCCCTAGGAACACCAACAGTTTCTTGGTTTGGCAGGGACACATGCACTGGCTGGCATGTAACAAGCTTTCCTTTTTAGCTCTCCAAGTTATTTCTGTATTCACTTGAGGTTTGCCCTAGTATTTTTTTCCCTCTAGCTCTCTTCATCAAGCTCTGCATGTTGCCAACTCTTCTATTTAGGTGTTTGCATTGATAAGATAATTTGTGAATAGAAATGGTTAGTATTTTTCTAGTGCTGTTAGTTTTATATCTAAGTGTTTCTATTATTTTAAAGGCTGAAGCACATGTGTTGCTTTTCTCTTCTACTTCTTTTTCTTGAAAAGACAATCAGGAATTAATATATATTAGGTAAATAGCATGTCAGTTTAAACGTAAGTGATAGGTACTTGAACACTTTAATACTTCTGATTCCAAGGCTTATTTTCTAGCTTTTTTCTCTTCCATGGGCTTTTAGGATGTGATGTTGGCTCCTGCTCTGATCCCACCCATGAATATTACTGCAGATTCATGTGTGCAAGAATGACGCTACTCATCTGTGAAGCGCTGTCTCCTCCTCCTCCTCTAGATTCATATCTTAATGACTAATGAGACAGCACCACAAAGCCCCGCATTGCTCCACACAACATCTGCAACGTTACACAGTAATCTACAATAAAAAAGTTGATGTGCCTCCATATAATGGAATAAATCATTGCATTCACTTTCTGTTTTTTGCTTTTGAATGAAGTATGTTTGTTCAATAAAAGTCCCTTGTTAGAGTCAGCCAAATTTCAAGTGGTAAGAATAAAAGAAAATAGCTATTTTTATAGTTAGTTTGTTATACTTTAATGTGAAATAGTCAAAGCAGGAGATTGTTCATGGTGGTAGAAGTTTCTTAGACTTCTGGCACTTTAACATGTAATTCTCTGGTGGGTGCCCAGGCACATACAGTACATCAGGAATCATATTTATGAGCGTATAAGATGTGGAACACTTTCCTGTTAGAAACCTTATTTTTAAGAAATCTTGAAGACCTGTGTGCTTTGTGTACTTTTCTCATTGCTGGAACAAAATATCCAAGAAGCATAAGTTAAATGAGGAGAGGTTTATTTCAGCTCACGGTTTGTAGAGGTTTCAGTCCGTAGTCAGCAGGCTGCCCGGCAGGGCAGCAGGGCAGAGAAGCTTTGAAGAGGAGAAACAGTCCCTGACAAAGTGGGCAGGAGGCAACTAGGAGCACCAGTAAGCCAACCTGCCCTTCCCTTTTACCCCAAACAGATTACAAACTTTTTGGGTAGTGCTACTCACACCCAGGGTGGGGCTTCTGCCTTCAGTAAAAAGGAGCTTTGGATAGAAGTTTCGGTAAGGTGAAACAGCTCTGCAGAGGTCTACAGGAGGAGCATTCTAGGTGAGAGACTAGCAAGTACAAAGTCCTGGAGGTAACAAAATTCCTGGTGTGATAAATAGAGATTCTCAATTTAGGGTCCATAAGTCGAATCAAGGGAACCCTGAATTTGAACGAAAAAGAAATTCTATCTCTATTTTTGTTGTCTAATACCTGAAATTAACATTTCTTCCCATAATACTGTGGACAAACTGTAGCAATACCTGCAGCCTCTGCGACTCTGACACCAGTAAGTATCACAGATACTGTCATGTCCTATTACATTTGTTAAGAAGCACACACGTCGCTGCAACATTAGTGTATTTCTTAATATCCTGAGAACAATTGTGTCTTTTGCGACCTTATGCATTTTGTTATACACATTTAAAAAGCTTTTTCAAAGAGGGAGGGAAGAGGAAGGAGATGAAAAAAGATGTATTATGTATGTAGACCAATTTCCCATAAGAAATCAAATTGTTATGTGTAGCAAACATGTATCAATAAAAATAAAACACTAAATAAATAAGTAAAAAAAGGTAAAAACCTTCTTCAGTGAGGGCATCCATAGATATAATGGTTGATACACTGTGTCAATTTTGGAAGTGTAGATGCTTAACTAAGTAATTCAGCAGTACTACATCCTAGGGTGAGAGGACAGGCCCTTACCACTCTGGGATGTTGTTCATGGTGTCAGTTTGAAAAGTTTAGCAGTTATCTAAGTGATTCAGCAGGGGACCAGTGCCTTCACTTTGTAAACTTCCTGAGCCTGTGCAAGACGAGGGCACAGACATGGTATGAGTGTTGTACCCACCCGAGGAAAAGCAGCCTGCATACAACATAAGGGAGGAAAAGAGACTTGCTTCTCCCTTTAGTTTTTGCTGGTTTGCTGTCTTCCACCACCATGAACTGCTGCCCCTCTGCCATGCCACCCTGCCTTGGAGTATGGACTGAAACCTCCACAAACAGTGAGCTACGTAAACCTTTCCTTCTTCAATTTTGGGAGTTGTGTATTTTGTCTTAGCAATGAGGGAAAAGTAACTAAGACATTAGGCTTTGCCTGTTGTCTGCCACAGAAATCCATGGCGCAGAAAAGGATGTATGAGAGATGAGCAATTCGAAGGCAAGTGTAAAGTTACCTTCAGTCGCAGAGCCTGGCAAGGCCAGTGGTGGTGGGGTGAAGTCTCATAGGCCTGAGGCTGCAGTGAGTGCGGAGAGTTAATGTCACCCATGATGGGAGGTGACTGGAGGCTGTCGAATAGGGAAATAACACAGTGTACATATGAAGTGACTCTAACTACAGTAACGGTTGCTAAGGTTACAAGTAGCATCCTGAAGACCATAAGAAGATCATCCCCGGATGATGGTAGTAACTTGGGTAGAGTGGCAGAGATGGAGGTGGGTGCCTTTTGGGGTTAGAACTGACAGAATTAGATGGCAGACTGAAGTGGGTGTGTGAGGAAAAAACAGTCAAACTCTTTCAGTTTCATAGCAAGTGGGTGCTATGGATAAACGTTCAGCAGTGCCATTTACCAAGGAGGAGACTGGGGAGAGGGGAGTAGGTTAGGAAGGGGAGACCAAAGTTGACTATGGAACCAGGAGTTCTTTTGGAATATGTTAAATTTAAATGGTTTTATCCTGGGTTGTTTGATTTTATTGTCTGTGATGGTATGAACAGCTATTTTGAAGAAAACAAGACATTATAATAGCCAGTGCTGATTTAATATCATCTTGTTTTGAAGTCCTACCATGCTTTTGTTCTTCTGTGTCCATTGGTTCTATCCTGTTGTATTTTATTGGATTTTATTATGTGTGATAGTATAAACAAATCTTTTATGGACAATGAGATAATATAGTAACCATTTTTCATTTTCTGTTATTTGGGTCTGAATGCCCTGTAATGCTTTCATTCTCTTTAATGGTTTTATACTATTTTATTATGTTTGATACTATTGTGTATGAAGGTATACTCAACTATTTCAAGGAAAGAGACATTATGGTAGCTACTGATATATCGGGTTGTCTTGTGGTGAAATACTGTGTTGCTTAAATTGTTCTGTTCTGATCTGCTTTGTTACGTCATCTTTTATCTTAATTTCTTTAAAATTAAAAAAAGTTTAAAAATTTAAATATCTGCTTCTTATCCATATGGAACAAGGAAGTAGAAAGCAGGCTATGAGCCTGAAATTGGGAAAGGAAATTGGTACTGGGAAACAAAATTTGTAGATCCTGGATATGTAACTGACGCACAGTATCTGTCCTCCCAGAGAAGAAGCATAACCAGTGCTCACAAGTGTCCAGCACTGGGAAGAGAGGGAGGAGCTGGCAAAGCTGACTGAAGAGTGGTAACCAGTGAGACAGGAAGACCATGTAGATGTTTCAAGAAAGTTCGAGAAAGAATTAGAATTATGAAATATGCTTTAGCACCGATTCTATAAAACAACATAAGCCATGATAAAGGATCAAAGTATGTTAGAATTTCTCTACCTAAAGCCATGATTTAGCAATGGATAGGTCTTGATTCAAGGACCTGCTATTTGTGACTCATAGGCCATGGCTGACCTTTAAGTATTTTATGTTCTTGGATAAATCGACCACTTTGTTCCTTTTTTTTTTCCTGTCTATAATCTAAGATCCATACAGCTGACCTACTTCACAGGAAAATTTGTGAAGAGTCTCGCATATCGATGTGAGAAAATGGACCACAAAGTGGTTTACAATAAATATTAAGATGCTAAACATCAAGGTGGAACTTTATCCAGTTCTACACCCAGTAGCAATTTTCTTTGTACTCTGAGATCATCAATTTGAATTTCTATCATAGGACCCTACGAGGGTCTATTCTAAACCAAATGCAGGAGAAAAATTAGTCTTCAGCTGTCTCCTATTTTCTTTACTTACCTTGTCAGGGCCCAGCGGGATCCCAGGGTCTGACTTCTCCAAGGGTCTCCCCTGCTGACAATCTTCCTAAACAAAGTGTGGCTTCACTTTCCATTCTCTCAGATGGCACTTTCATGACGGGTACTACTGACTCATGCTCTCATATCTTTTACCAACAGGAACAGAGCCTGTGTGTGGCTCACTGTGTCTCTCGCCGCCCTTTGTCCCTCTTGTATTGATAACACCAGATCCCAGTCTCTTCCCGCTGTGCTAAACTCTCCCAAGTTACACAGTCAAAAGAGCTCGTGACAACAAGTAAAAGGCCTATATTCTGATTTTATTCCACTGCAGACTTAAATGTTTGTACAGTACTGAAGGATAGAGAGCCTCGTTTTCCACTTTCGGAAAACAACTCTTTAGAAGAAATGTAAAGTTTCTCTCACTCAATGATACCACAATCACTTTATTATCAATACTGTCTTTCATTGATATATCATAATTACACATTTATGGATGCACATATTTTGATATGCATATCAAACATGATTAAATCAAGTTAATATATTCACTATCTCATTAACCTATCATTTTTATGGCAAGACACTTGAAGCTTATTCTTAGTTATTTTGAAATATAGACTATATTATTATGCGCTGTCCTTACCCTGCTGTCCAATAGACTTCAAAGCCTATTCCTCCTGTCTACCAGAAATTTTGTACCCTTTGATCAACATTTCCCCACCCCTTCTCTTCCCACCCTTTCCACCACAGTCTCTGGTAACCATTGCTAAACTCTTCGCCATGAATTCAATATTATTAGAGTCCCACATGTAAATGTTACCAATACGTTTCTTTCTGTATTTCATTTATTTCACTTAGTGCTGTGTACTGTCTTGGAGAGTCATTCTCCATGTTGCAAATGGCAGGACTTCCCCATGTTTAAAGCTCAATAACATTTCATCGTGTATATAAACATTTTATTTATCCATTCATCCGTTGATGAACTCAGACATTGATACATATTTCAGAAAACAATATCGCTCTCATATATGAGGGACAGCTTGGTAAAATGCTAGTGGGTATTAAGTAGGTGAATGCTTCCTCTTGCAGGGCACATATTTCAACTTTACCTTGGGTACCTGGAGGAATTGCGTCATTCCTTATTTCAAAGGCTTAATTTCAATATTGACAGTATATAAATATTGACAGTATGAAAAATGTTACTTTGGGTAGCTGAATATTTTAATACCTCACAAGTCAATCTTCCCATTTACAACCATGTCACACCCTGAGTCTATGCTCAAATCTCTTCACTTAACACATTCACATAGAAGTGAAGAGATTTGAGAATAGATCATGAAGAACAATCTAGAAAAACAGTATTATATTTCAAGCCCATAAGAATACATTGAATTCCAGAAGGGATCAGTTGGTGGAAAGATGAAAAACTATAGATAATAGGTTGTCACACACACACATGCGCACACACACGCACACACACACACACCTTCACTGGTTTAGGAATGACCAAAATCCCTCCAATGGGTAAGGGAGGGGAGTCAAGATAACAGGAATGTATCACTAGATAATCGAACTATATTCCATCTCATAGAGGGGAGAAAAGATTCTCACAGTTTCATTATATCCAGAGGAACAGCCTAGCTTTTCAGATTCAGCTTGCCTTGGTATCATGTCAATTAAGAGTGGAAACACATAGAAAAGGTAAGGTTTGAGAATGCTGTCACACTATCTTCATACACATCCATTATCTTTCTACAATGATCCAGGCACAGCCGGACTCTTGTGACCTCTTCAAGGCTGGATTTGGGTACCATTTCCAAACATGCTAATGGATTAGAATGAAGCTTGATTGAAGGAGTAAGGAAGAAAATGCCACACCACCTCCACCTTCAAGGCCTGGAAAGGGACGACTAAGTGGAACTGCAGAATCCAGGATGGTCCCCTGAGGGAGAGAAAAGGTGCTTGTATCTGACTGGCACTGGACTTCAGAGGGAAGAGTTTGAAATCAGACAAAGGTGCCTGAGAAATACGATAGATCACTTAAATATTCAGTTTTCTGCAATGTCTACAACTTAATTGAACAACAGGGATCATCTTCTAACTCGTGAGAAGCTCTTTTTAATTAAACTTTGAATTTCTCTGCGGCTCTGCAGAGGCATTCCAGCGTAGCATCTGGCTTTGAGTGAGCAGTAATTTTGGCCACCCACAATGGTTTGGAAAAGTTCTATTGCTGAGTGAAAAGAATTCTTACATGTGACTCACTCCACTAATATTCAGATAGTTAGAATCGCTTATTAGTGTTCATGAAATCTGTATGTTATTTTATTGATTTTTAGAGATATCTGCAAAATATCTGACTGTATGAAACTCTGATGTTGACAAAGTTCCTGATAAAATTTTAGCTCTTACATTGATAAAATGTTGTCAGAACTCCCAGTTTTTAATTTTTAAAATTTTTATTAGTACATGGTTGTATTAAATAATGATTGCACTCACTGTGGGAAGTTGGTACATTATGTGACATATCTGAATTCTTTTTGTTTTTCTTCCCTTCCACCCCCTCATTTTTTGCCAGCATAAGATTCATCTATTTACTTTATAAGTCCTTATAATGTTAATTATCATTTATCCAGATTAACAGCCAGACTACCAGATATTTAAAAAGCCAGATAAGACGATGAACTAAAGCAACGTATGCTTTTAGGTATATTATCCATGAGCATTCTCACTGAATACAGAATTGTTTTATCCTTTATGATAAGACCAAGAAGCTTATGACAATGTATGTGGAACGACTTTCAGGCATGTTAGTCAAAATTCTGAGACAGCAATGCAATAAAGTGAGAAAATTATCATTGTAGAAACTGCTTGAATTTGACATCTGTTTAATTCTCACTGAAATGAATGTCCTATCTGGGGTAAAGAGAGCACTTAATTATTACATAGACACTATTCGCACAAACTATTCAGAGAGGTCTCTGCATTCAATGAAGTAAAAAGGGGCACAGCGATTATGTCTCAAGGGAAAATGAGGTAAACAAGGACATTAGAAAAGGTCGATGTATATAAACGAAGCATAATTCTTTTTTCCAAAATGAAAGTAAACACCATATACTACAAACCTATACTTATTTTAAAAGAAATAAGTAAAATAAAAATAAGTTTTTGAAAAAGAAACAGGAAACTTTACACTGGAAAAGAACAAAGAAGTTCTTCAAGGCTTGATTCTCCTTTTTTAACACAACTGTAAGATGTGCTCGTCTGTTTCTTCACAGAAGAAAACGGAGTATAATAATTCTGATTGTTCCGTGTTGCTATCTTAGAGACTTTGACATTCTAGGCCAGGAATATTGAATGAACAAACATAATGGCCTCTCTAGGTAGGCGCAGTGGATGTCCTGGTTACTCATCAGCATCTTTAATTAGTGGAGGATTTGAGTGGTATCATTTCATGCAGACCAAACATCCTCCTACATCTCCTAGCAATATCAAGGCCAAATAAAACACATGTGAAAAATTCTTCTGAAAGTTTAAAATGCAGTGTTGTATTACAAAGTATTGTTATAAGTTAAATATAGGAGGACATATGACTGGTGCTTGGGGCTCGTTTTTGGATGGAAATTTTTGTGATGCTTGTTGTAAATGAAGGTAATAATTCTGCTGAATGAAGAGAAATTGAAATATGTATTGGAACATTTTTGAAGATAGCAGAAACCCAATTCCAACTAGTTTAAGCAAAAAAGAGATTTATTACTCTTATTGAACTAAAAGTCTAGATGGATAAATGAATCCAGTGATTCAGGCATTGCTTGTTCTGTCTGTCCTTCTGTCTAACTTTTCAAAAGTCCATCTGTCTGTCTCTTTGCTCATCTTTTCCACAACTGATGCTTTACTTTCTCTAAGAGATGGGAAAGATAATCCATTGGTTGGTGTTCTCCTCCATATGGATAGAAAATTCATATTCTGACAGTATTATAGAGGCTGTTCAACAGGGCGGTCAGGGAAAAGTGAATGTTGCCGTTTAAGTCTAACGCCCATCAGAATGCAGAATTCCTGCTTGTTTAGGGAGGTCAGTCTTTCTTCTGTGCAGGTTTTAACTAATTGTGTGACTCTCACACACATTATTAGGGGCATTCTACTTTACTTGTATTCACTTGTTTAAGTATTAATCTTGTTAACAAAATGCCCTCAGAGGAATGCCTAGAATAATGTTTGTATGTAAATTTAGCTGTGGTCCCACCAGGTTGGCATATACAGTAACTGCTACACATCACTTCTGATAATCCCAGGCCTCCGCATTCCAAATGAATGATTCCACCAAGATAGCAAGCTTCTTACTGTGGTATCCATATACTACTCTCAAGGAAGATGGGAAGCCCTGCTGTTATCACATGACCATATGTGAGGCCAGAAATGCCCATGCTCTAGTTCACTGCCCAGCCATGGTAAAGGGGTATTTACAAGTGCTCTGTAGCTTCTCTGACACATCATCCACTGAGCATCACCAGGACACACTGAGCTGTCCTACACATGGGCTGATGCTGTGCTTATTTTTCATTCTATGCCGAGTTCTCGTTTCAGGGAAACATGTGTGGGGCTAAAGGCTGAGGGACAAGTGGTAGGGGGGGGCAGGGAAGAGCCCACTTTTACCAGATGGGGGAAGAGAATGGGTTTCAATTTTATCATCTATGACCTATCCATTGCTCACTAGCTAAATTTATAGCATGGGGAACATACTTGAAAACAATAGACTACCTGCCTAAATTAGGAGGCAAGTGTTTGGAATTGTCTTTTCATGGTAAGGATTCCTGGATTTCAGCATGTATAACGGAAGTTTGGATGTAATATAACTATTTGTTCTTACTTTACTAGTGCTACACATGTTTATGTATATGTATATTTGGAAAGTAATGTAAATGTATGATTGATCTATACTTAAAAGTGATATGAATACTGATGTATTTATTTCCAGTTATTTGTATTGAATGTTTGAAATATGCTTGTGTACAAGGCAACTACATAAGGAAATAATATACGTACAGTTGGTTCCCCATAGAGGAACATTTCCCTGTCAATTTCAGATGCAGTTATATTTCTGCTGAGCAGCTGATATATTTCTGTTTCACTTTGTAACATTGTTTCCCTTCTTTCTGTTGAGACCCACCTCTTCTGGTCATTTTATCCATTCATTTATTAAATTCTATACCTATAGTGTACCTAGACTATGAAAGATGCTTAGGGATCTGTGAAGGAACAAAACAGGCAAAGCCTAAGGAGTTTATGTATCATTTTATCATTTTACATATTCTAGTAACATTATCATAAAATGATATATAAACTCCTTAGGCTTATAGTTATTATTAACTATAAAGCCAAAACAAATTTACAAATGAAATATAAGTAAATCTATAAAAATATAAGTAAATCTGTAACATTATTCAGATCGACTATTTTAATGTGACAGAGAAGGCATTTGTTGAATTTCAAGTGTAGCTGCATGCCTAATTTTATATAATGTTTTGGTTTTGTTTGTGACTTCAATATTATTGATGTGACTTCAATAATACTAATACTATTCATCTAAGAATGCTTTTTAAAACAATATTATTATTTTCAAAATTTTGTTTTCCAGTTCAGGAGCATCTCATCTCATACATAAGCAAAGCTATCAGTAAGAAATTCATAAATGTCAAATTTAGAATTGACTCAATAAAATTGTCTTGTATTTTTAAAGATAAATTTAGCATCACAATATTATTGGAGTATGCATTAAATGGATAATAAATCCAAGTACTTCTTGAAAAAGAAACAGAAAAAACCCACTTCATTATATATTTATTATTATGCTTGCTGCTAATGAATTTTTGCAAATGGGTATATTTAACAACGGGATCTGCTTAGAAGAGGAATACATACCAGCTACAGTGGAGCAGATTATTTTATGTAAAACTTTGACCATGAGATTAGTGAATCATCCTTCAGCAGTTTCTTCTTTTCAAAGTCTTTCAGAATTTCTGTCCAAATAGCATCTGCTTTGGAAATACACATATCACATGGATATATTCAGAGTCCCATGTAATTCTTATAATGTTAAATCTTTTATAAAATTATCGCTGAACCAGCTGATCTGGAGAAATACAGACTGCAATGATAGCTATTGAAGTAAAATACAAATTTAAAGCTTGTAGCGTTTAGTGTTTCACTGACTTTGCAGGTCTAAAGCTGGTAGTCTGATCATCTATTCAGAGGATAACACAATGTAGCATCTATGGGGGGATCTCCTCGTGAAGGTGGTAGCCAGTTAATTCCCTATCATCTTGTTTTGAAGCCTTGTATCACTTTCATTGTTTTATCTGGTTCTGTTTTGTCTTGTGTGATTTTATTATATCCAAAGGCATGAGAAGCTATTTCAGAGATAACAAGATATATTATGGTGGCCATTTTAGATTTACTATTATCTTGTTTTGAAGTGCTTTATTGCATTCATTGTCGTGTTTTATTGGTTCTTTCTGTTCTATTTTGTTTAGTTTTTACTGTGTCTGAAGGTAAGGGCAGCAGTTTCGAAGACAATAAGAGGTATTATGGTAACCATTGTTGATTTTGTATTGTTTTGAAGTCCTGTATCACTTACACTGGTTTGTTTTGACTGGCTTTATTCTGTTTTATTTTGCTTGGCTTTATTCTCTTTAAAAAATTATCCCTGAAATTAAAGTATAACTACCACAAAAAAAGGAGATAAAACATATGGAGCCCATAGTTTGTGAAATAATACTTCACAGAATGTTTCCGTATCAGACAGAGCCCTGTGAGACGGAACCACAGCAACATAGATCAGAATAGACAGGCTGCCTCCAAGCACCAGTCAGGCTTTCCCACCCTTCACTTCCTTACCATTTGGCACCACCTCCCTCATCTGTGGCTATTTTAAGCCATTGCCAAGAAGTCCCTGCCCTGGGAGTAGAGGAATCGTCCATCTTCAGCAGAAGGTGGTGATGAAGAGATGCTGAGGGGGGCTGGGGATTTAGCTCAGCGGCATAAGCGCCTGCCTTGCAAGCAGGCCGTCATGAGTTCGATCCCTGGTACCAATAAAAAGGAAAAAAAAGACCAAAATAAGAGAGAGAGAGAGAGAGAGAGAGAGAGAGAGAGACTGCTGAGGAATACTAGGGTAACATTTCTCTCACATTTTACTGTGCGCACAATTTCCCCAAAGCCCTCAAATGTAGTTCTGCCCTAGTAGGTAGGTGGGGCCTGAGAACCTGCATTTGTAGTAAACTCAGATAACCAATCTGATTGCTCTGGTTTGTAGTTCAGGCTTTGAGAAGCATGAATTTAAGGCTGCTAGACTCTCTTTTAGAGTGAGCCTTAGATGAGGCAAATTTTCCACCTTTTGCTGTATGTTATTTTAAAAATTGCCTAAACTTGGCATTTTACTTGGAACTCAGATATTTGGCTCCTATGAAATAGAGCAGGGATGTATTAGGTAGATTAACCAGATTATAAGATTCTTATTTCACATGAGAAAAAGAAAGTTTCACCAGCCTCAAAGGATATTTATTTATAGAACAGAATTTTTATATCAGCTGTTGGAGTGGTATGAAGTTTCTGCAGTATTAACAGCCAAAAAATCAATATATCAAACTCTAGAAACTAAATTAATTATACATATACTTGATGGTAAATCAATAAATCAGTCAAATGATTTAAAAATGAATTGAATGATTTTTGTTTTCCTTTTGTGGTTGGATTTGAGTGACTGCCAGAAGTTTTAAGGCATCATTATATCAGCTATTCCCATGCTGATATGCATAGCTGTTTTGATTTGTAACTGAATGCTGTATATTATTGGAAGAATCTCATTACAAAGTATCTCCTTCACATAAAACTGTGAAAATCTTGTAGGTAACATAAATGTATTTAACTGTGAGTGGTAGAGAATTTAGCTCACTAGAATTTTAGCAGATGATGTGTTATTTTTCTTGTGTAGAAGGCAGTCTGGAGCTGAGTGGCTTAGTATCAATGGCTCAGTGATGCATGATCACTAACATGGTAACTCTCCTGGGGTTTGCTAACCATGGCAAGATGGTGTCAACTTTGCCATTAAGACTGGGAGAAGGGATAAGACAGCATTAACCTTGTCCATCTTTAACTAAGAAAGTCAAACATTCCCCCCAACACCAGGGTTTTGGTCATTGGTCAAAGTGATGTCACATGAGTATCGCCATCCAATCCCAATAATAGGGGCAAAGGAGAAGTTAGAGAATAGATTGATTACCACTCAATTAACTTCATAGCTGAATTCCTGTTTAATACAAAGGCAGAATATCCTGCTTCTATCTTAGCAGAGACTGTGGTGATTAAAAAGTTTAAGAGACACATGAAATTCCTGAAAGCAACCAACCTCAAAGGATCTAGAGATTTGTGATTATGAAAGTGGAAGATAAAATAATTATATTATCTAACGCTCCCCATAAAAACATGTGAAGTTGTCCTAAATTTGTTTTTTTTTTAAATCTTATTTATTTTTTTTTGAGTCAGGGTCTCACTATGCAGTGCAAGCTAGCTTTGAACTCACTCTTGTAGCCTGGGTTGGCTGTGAACTCATGACAGTCCTCCTGTCTCAGCCTCCTGAGTGCTGGGATAACATGTATAGACCAAGCCCAGCATTTGTCTTTAGTTTGAAAGGTCATGTGGTCATCAGCTGAGGTAAAAAAGGCTTTCCTATGGCTTTTACCCACCTAAATTGTCCACCAAGATTGCAGAATTTAGCAGGAAAGATTGTTTTGCTCTTCTTCTGAGAAGGTTTGGAGCTTTTAGAGACAGAGATTTTATAAATGAACTGTAATGCAATGTGACAGAGCTTCCTTCTCCCAATGTCCTGTCTTCCTTGATGTTACCACAGCTGGCCACTACTCCCAGTGAACTTATATGGTGTGCAGACCTGCATCCCCTGAGTAAGATCACATCACTAAAGAACTCACAAAGAATGTGTGTTAGCTTACCAGTATTATAACAAAACACCTGAGATAACGTATAAAGAGGAAAGCTTTATCTTGGGTCATGGTTTCAGAAGGTTTGGTCCATGGTTGGTGGCTTTGTTGCTTTTGGACCTCTGACATGGCAGAACTTCACAACAGGAGTATGTGATAGAGCAAAGCTGTAAATCAAAGAGAAAGGAAGAAAGGGTGGGAACCTGCTACTGCTTTCAAGGGTACGTTCCTAATGACCTAGTTCCTTCCATTAGTCATATATTCTAAAGGTTATACTTCTTCCCGGTGTGCCAAGCCTGAGGGTCAAGCCGCCCATGCACGGCCCTCTGGGAGATATTCCTGTTCCCAACTAGAGCAGAACGTTACAGAGGTTTTAGCACTCTTTCAGAAAGTTTTTGATTCTTTGACCTCTTCTTAATCTCTGATGCTTTCATATATACAATAGTTCTTAGTATTAAACTTAGAGTATTTGGCATATTTATTTTGAACTTGCTATGGGTTCTTGGCTTTAACTATTCTTAATTTCAATTCTTTTTATAAGTATCATGGTTGTTTCTGTTTCTAAGAAAGAACTCCTTTGGCCCTCATACATTTGTCTGTGAAGAGCATTCCTTCTTCCAGATTTATAAGGGTTCTGTATTTCTTATTTTCTTGCAGAGCTAAGAAGTTATATGGCTTCTGTTATGGTGTTAGGTTAGTCTATTAACATATTTTTTAGTTCACTAGTACATTAGGTAAGGCTATAGAATTGCTGGGGTTCTGGGTAATGATTCATAGCCTGGTGCTTGACACTTCCAGATATTAGTCTTAATCAGTGTAAAAAATATTTACCCATATTTTGATACTTCTTTTTGTTTTGGACTATCATCACACAAAACTGTAATTTCAATAGAAAAGGAAAGTCTAGTAATACGTATTTAAATATATAACATCTTTTTCTGAGACTTAGGTTAATAGAATTATTTCCCCCAAAGTGTTTATATTTAAAGAATATAAGGGAAATAATTCAGAACTATGAGTCTGAATGAATAAAATTCAGATCCTGGGGCACCTGAGAGACATTTAAGCCCTGAGTCTTACCTCGGTCTCTTAAATCAGTCTGTACAGCCTCACCCAATTCTGCCTACTTTACTAGTCCTTATAAGGGCCAGCCCCCCATCACAAAGTGTGCTCAAAAAGAGGTTGCCATGAGGCAAAGTACTGCAGAAGAGTGTGAGGTTTATGTAACCAAGTGTCCAGGGTAAAGGTGTTAAGTTACTGAAGGAGGAGGTTTTAAGCTCTGAAGAGAAATGGAATCTGCTCATCAGTTTTCTTTGGAGGTAGCTCCTATGATTTTCTAGCAAATATTTTCTACGAATGAAGATTGTAATCTCTGTAGAAGGAAAGAAGGATTATGAATTAACAATCAAATGTTATTTCAAGTCTTTCACATGATCTGTTAGGAAAAGCACAAGGGCCTATCTTGTCTTTTCTCTCACAACGCAATCAACACAGAAAACTTGTGCGACTCAAAAGGTTTGGAGATTTCTCTCCACTAGCAAGCAAGGAATTCTGACGTGGTACTAGTTGGATACCTGTAATGCGATTCATTTCTGAAATTACCTATCTAGAGAGAGTGTCAAATCCCTCAAATTAAGGGCTAGATTCCCAATCCTGCCGCAACACGACCACCAAATGCTGGTTGCAAGTTCTGGTGTTTTACCTCTATTTCTGACCATCAGACTATAAGGTTCCTACAACCATTTCAATTACTTTCCTGGAGCAACTCACAGAACTCAAGAAACATTTACATTTACTGTTTTGATGTAAAAGATAGTACAGAGGATCCAGAAAAGAGGTGCATACGGGATGATATGGGAGAAGGCACACAGAGCTTCCTTGCCCTCTCCAAAAGCAGTTTTGTCCAGGAACCTCCTCACGTTCAGCTGCCTGGTAGGTCTCCGGATTTGAGTTCTATGGAGACCTCATTGCACAGATGTAACTGCCAATAGGCTGCAGGGCTGGGGGATCCAGCAGGGCCTGTATGTTCAGATTCTTCTGGGCTTCTCTGAGCAGCATTCCTCTCCCCAGGGCATAGGGCCAAGACCCTCTGGAATGAAAGGGGTCTTTTGACCTAATATCAGAGTAGGTAAGTCAGAGTTATGAGGCAGGAACCAAGGAAGAAAAAAATACATATATCACATAATTGTGCCATATACATGTCATATATTTGTATATTACAATATATCACGTAATAACAAGGAAAAAAATTGGGGCACTTGATCTTTCTGATTTATGTGGAGAAAACAAATTTCCCCCATGTAATAAATGCTTATAATGCTAAAAATACAAGCAGTCCTTTTTTTAACCAAAAGCATTTCATCCACTAATGAGTTAAAAAGAAGATAACCCAGATATTTAAAAATTGAAAGAAACTTAGAAAGGGTAGTATCAAGATATTTGGAAACACAACAGTTGGATGACTACTTAAATATATACGGTGGCAAAAATATACCCTTGCTGTTGGGAGCAGCAAAGATGTGTCAGCTTATGGAACAAGGAAATGATGGGGCTCGGAGAGCAACTTTGATGAGCTACAGCTGCTAAGTCTGCTCCGCACATGGCCCCCCGCAGTGTTCCTACACATGTGCTTCTGCTGCCAAGCCAAGAGCTGTATGTGTACCGACTGTGGGGTCCAAGTGGATTTCTTTTCCCCAAAAGCACTTTGCAACCCTCAGAAATTCTACTACTTACCTAATTTGCTCCTATTTTCTTAGATCATGCAGACAAATCCAGTGCCTCTTCCGCCAGACAGTCCTTCAAACACTGTGGGCAGTGCTGCTTCACCATCTGAGCGGTCTCTTCTGCAAGCTGTACTTGTGTGGTCTCACTGAGTTTTATGAATTTGTGCGTGTGTGTGTGCCTCCTCCCCTTTTCTACCTCTTCTTTAACCTGTCCATTTTACACATTGTCACCTAGCACTTATCCTCGGGACTACGGGGCACTACACCAGAAAGCGAGTGTGTCCAAGGTTGTCACCTGCGGGTATTAAACAGGTAAGCTTTTCCTTTTCTTGCAACCCAAAACAAAAATTAAAAGGAAGATGGTCCCAAACTCCCAGCTTATCACTGCAATTTCTGATCTTATCACTGCTCATTTATACAACTTTGCACTATGCAATGAGGTACACGGCAGGAGCAAGGGGACTGGGGCTGGAAGATCTTGCAGCAGTGTGCAGGCGCTGTCACTGTAACCGTGGGAAAAGCCCTTGACTTCTCTGAATCTATCCCATTGCCTGTAGTAATTAGCAGATATCACTGATGTGTACAGCACTTCAGTGTATTTCGACATACCCCGTCTTACTGAATGCACAGCGCTCCTCGCTGTGTCCTTTCTAAACCTTTGTGAGGAGCAGGGAGGTTAAACAGTACTTAGCTCCCTGCCTCTCGCCTCCCACTTTGCTGGGTCTTTGGTGCCATGTTCCTTCCATCCAACTTCTTCTTGCCTTCCCTGATGCTCTGGTTTGCATTTGTATCATTTTCTTTCAATTTTACATTTCACTGATTACCCTGCAGAAATAATTGAAGCTGTACAGTCTAAAGTTTTTCAACCTCCTTCCCCTCCACCATCAAAATTAATAATGCATTTACCCATCTTTGTCTCCTTCCTATCTCAGAGGAAGCTTCATCCTTTGTTCCGGACCCAAGTTCTCACCTCTTAAGTACCACTCTTAATCCACTACCCTACAGTCTCAACTCTTGACTTATCACACACATCTTCTAACTTTTCTCACCAGCATTTCCTCATGTTGACTGAGAAGATTATGTATATATTTGTTTTTTAAAATTCTCTCCATTGCTGTTATGATCGAGATCTAAAAACGTCCCCTAAAGTCTTATGTTTGGAAGATGGGGTGCAGCACTGTGCTCCACTGATGAGTTCAGCTGCTGAACGTGCTATTGGGAGGTGCAGCCTGGTTTGAGGTGGGTCACTTGGGACTTGACTGGATGGATGGATTCTTGTCTTGGGTCCTGTCTTTGTCCTCTGCTTCCTGACTTCCATGGGGTGAGCAGTGGTCCTTTGCCAAGACTTTTGTCACGCCATTTCTGCCTTGGAGCCAACCAACTTTGGACTGGACCTGCTGAGAATTATAAATCAAAAAACCTTTTCTCCTTTAAGTTGATAGTGTCAGGTATTTTGTCCCGGCAATGGGAACATGACTAGTGTAATCCCCAAATAAAACACATCACCGTTTAATAACTGTCTCCAACCTGCACGGATCACCATCATTGCTGCTGATTACACGGAGTCCTTGAGAGACAGCTTCAGCCTTGCTGTCCCTGTTTCCCTTGTTAAAGTCCTGGAGGTGGGACTTTTACTCTTGGGTGCTGATCTGTTCCCCTTCTTCACACCACACTCCCTGTAGAATACCAACTCTTCCCTGGCTGGGAGCCCTCAGGCTTTTCTTGTTCCAGATTTGTCTTTCTCCGTACACCTGAAGGCTGCTTGTGTGTCAGCCCTGCTGTGGTTTGGGTGTGTCCCCTGGAACACACACAGTGGAAATTTTACGTCAAAATTCATGTCCATGGTATTTAAGAGGTGAGAACTTTGGAAGGTTAAGAGAGCTCAGCTATCATGAATGGATTAACCCATTCATAAAGTAGTGGTTCATTTCAAGAGTATCTTTGTTAAAAAGAAAAAAAATAAGCTGACTACGGACACATGCTCTGTCTCACCATAAATACTGCCTTCTGCCCTGTTATTGTTCAATGAGAAGGGCTTCACCCTCGAAAGAGGACATGCCGGATATGCTGGCACCATGCTTTGGTCTTCCCAGCCTCCAAAACTATAAGAAACAAATGTCTATTCTTTATTAATTATTCAATTGTTCATTATACAACAGAAAGGAGACTAAGAAAAGTCCATTGATCAAGACCTGCTGAGACAGAGCAGAAGGAACAGGGCACTGAGGTTCCACAAACACGGGTTCAAATCCTGTTTTGTCATTCTGCTGGGTCTGGGTAGTCAGTTTGCTCTGATTTTCCTTATTTTTAAACTTTATGTTGGAAAGTTATGCTGATATATAAAGGGAATCATGGATTTAAAGCCACATAAATAGTACTTTAAAAAAAGTAAAGGTTTCATGAACACCATCTTCTCCCTCTGTAGAAAATTGACTCTAATCTCTCCCCCCCCTGTCACTACCACCACCAGGCTAACCACATTCCATCTGTCTACCAGTCAGACTATTGCCAAAACTGAGCCTGCCCCATCGTGTTCTCATCAGCAGTTGTATGGCTGGCTTGTACAAATGGGCTCAAAGAACCAGCTACATTTCCACCTACACTCTCCAGTCCCATATAACTCGAATCAATCAGCAGGGTCTAAGTTTAGTTTTATCTGACTAAATAGGCAACTCTAGCCTCAAACCTTAGCCATAGATTATATCTTCTTGACTCTTAGAATCTAAATCATTCTCTCAGAGATAAAGTCCATCCTTTCAGGAGCTCAGCCTATTTCGGATCAATCCAGAGACTGATTCTTAAAATCAGCATCCTTATTACTGTGACTTCTTCAAACTTCTTTCTTGGTCTGCTTCTTCTTTTCCCTAGTTTCTGTCTCGTTCCTCTGCTTTTTTTTTTTTTTTTTAATGCTACTTTCTCCCTTGAGCAATGATACACCTTAAATCTTTCATGTTTCCCAAAGGTCCACACAAAATCTTTAGGAGGTGGTGTCCAGTGGAAGGGAATTAGGTCACTGGGTCTTGCCCTTGAAAGAGATAGCATAACCCTGGTCCCTCCTGGCCTCCCTTTTGTCCCTGGCTAACATGAAGCAAACAGATCTCTTCTATCATATACTCCTATCACTGGCCTAGGTGACCACAGACCGAAACCTCCAAAACTGAACCAAAACAAACCTTTCTTCCTTTTAATTTATCTTAATTACTTATTACAGAGGTAAAAACACTAACTATCACAAGCACTGTCATGCCTGTCAACAAACTTTATTTCCATTATTATCCTCTCCATGAGAAATTCCCCATTCTCTGAAACCCTGGTCCAGGCTATCCTGAACGCCAGACCCGAATTCTTTTACTGTCTTACATGCACATATCCGGCAATATCTCGTTGCCTTTCTTCTTTCTGTGTTTTCCAACTCTGTGAATAGAACCACTGCTCACTCGCGACACTCAAAGCAGAAATCAAGTTGCCATCCACTGTCCGCCCTTATCTGCTTCCTGGCTTCCCATCCATCTCTAAGGCTTCATCAGTTCTGCTTCTTTTCCAAATTGTTTTGCATTATTTTGTTTTGTTTTTTGTCTTTGCTTTGTTTGAGACAGCATACTGTTAAATAGTCCAGCCTGGTTTTGAGTTCATTATGACCCAGCAGTGGTCCTCCAGCCTCAGCCCCCCAAGTGCTAGGATTATAGGCTTAGGCCACTACACCCCTCCCATCTCTTCTCTGAGCTGTATTCAAATTCTTACTGTGCTTTATTCAGCCAACTGCTCTACATTGTAACTACCCTCATGCTCAAACCAGAGCTATCTTTTAAAAACAAACTTTCATTGTCTAAATGTTTCTTAATATGTAACCTTTTCCACAATCACCCATGGGGCATTTCACAGCAGGCTCCAGTTTGCCTTAATGCTTACCCCTTGCAGAAAGTCCCCTGGAGCCTGCAGGAATGCCATGTGGCCTCTGTTTACCTTGCAATTTCAGTTCATTAACTGATTATTTTCCCTTTCAGGCTCTCTCCTCTGCCAGAATGTCTAGACCTTTTGAATTGTTTAGTATATGTAGGTGATTCAGACTCAGAAAAATTCTTCTGATGGATATTTTTAGCCATCAAATGACAGTCTACACATTTATCATAGAGTTTATAAAAGTTTACACAAAATCTATAACTGCCCCAATGGCATCTAAGAAATGAAAGAAGCATAGCATGATAACATTAGCAGAGTGATTCTCAAAATTTTTTCCATTGAACACTGAACTCCTATTTATCCAAGTTAAGAGGAAGAACCAACACAGAATCTCACAGTGTTAAGCACAGAAATCCATGTACTTTGTTGTATAACATGATTTTTTCCCATCTCACAGAGTGACTTTTACAAAGAAGCTTTTATTAGAGTGATAAAATTAATTCCCAACCCCAGACACTAGATTTAGGGATAACACTAAAGTATGGATTAATTTTAGGCGTCAGAGAGGCTGGAAAACCACATTCGTTACAGATACTATGAATTTACAACCACAGTTTGGACTGAGAATGTGTTTTTCTGTCTTCCTTGAATTGTTTATGTTCTACGCAACCTTGCCTTTTGTCCTAGCCAAAGATTGCCATTCATGCTACAACAATGTGCTATGCCCTGTCATACATATGGCTAGGCATACAGAAAGTTGATGATTTTTTTGTTTCTTTGTCATTATATATGGGTCAGCTGCAAAGCACATTCCTATACTAGAGCCTACAAAATACAGCCATTATGGAAATGAGAGATTATTCTATTTTTACTCACTTTCACTTTAATTGCAAATTGTTAGTGCAGTAATTTCCACAAAAGGGTTATGCAAGCATGCCAAATTGCTTGAAATATTTTCCACTTCTCTGACTTCCCATGGGAAAAGCCACTAGGTTGCATTTGTGGCATCTCAGCTGGTTCGAGCAGCCTAATTGGGATTTACAAGCTTTAAGCTGCACTGGTTTACAGATGAGCATCCGTGGACATGCAGGGACTCTGGTCTCCACAGCCTCACTGGAATGTGGAAATGTGCAAAGTATTCCTATAAAATACAGCCCGAGGGATGGTAGCAAACATCTTTTGTTTATATTTTTTCCTTAAAATTATTTTTTTGAAAGATTTGAACTGAGCCAGAAATTTCATTAGGAAACAGGTATACTGTAGGTTCTTTAAAGGAGTTCAGGGCTCCACCTCTCATATGTGAGAAAGAGACTCTCAGGAATATGTAACTTTTCTGCCCTTTGGGCAGAAGCACCTGATTACCCGCCGCATCTGTCACCGTCAGCTAATTGTAAACATAGGCCCTTCCCGAT